TATTTTTGTACATGTAGCCTGTTTTATTCTCTTTTGGGCATTTCTTTCTCTCCTATTATTCTGACAGTTAGAAAAAAAAAAAAAGCAAATTGCTAACAGAAAGATGGTCAGGCAGGCATGTAGCTAGGACTCTTCCGATATGCAGCTGTGAGCTTATAATAATTGATGGACAAAAGCTTACTTCCATGTCTGATCTGCTGAGCTAGCTACCTCCATTTATAATTGAAGGACAAAAGGCAGAGAAGTAGACATTGGGATGGCATATGTACACAACAAAACAAAGCCTAGCTAGCAAATACCCTCTAAGTCCTAGCTTCTAGCTGCTAGCTGCTAGCGCAAAGGCCACAACAAAACAAAACCTGCCTCAGACTTGTGCTGGTTTTAAAATAGACCCTTCAAACTGATCACTGCCCAGAAGTATGTGATGGGTTTAAACTAGGCCTTTTCCACAATGCGCGTCAAGTTGCTAGCTTTGGAATAGACTTCTCACGGGGCTTGTTAGCAGTATATGTTGCGTAAATGAATCCCCCATTGCATTGCATGCCATAAAATTAACATGGACCACCCCCAAATATATAAATGTAATCTTGGTACGTAATAATAATGTTAGAGTTTATTCACTAAATATGGGTGGACGAGATGTACCATGTGATCGTACGACCGTACTATTCTATAATCATTCTGATTAAACTAAGCACATAAATTAGATTCATCCAAAAATAGTAAAGCTTCCAATTTCCAAGCTTGTAGCTACTGACAACAGAGATAACCAATCAAGCATATTGGGGGTAATATGAACGGGCAATGCAGCTCATTGCTCAGCCTTTACCCCATACTTTAACGGAAAGAGAGCGCTTTTGGGTCAAAGTAAAAGAAGAATATTAAAAGGTGATGACCCAAATCAAAATAGTAAAAATTAGGTCTTCTTCGCCCACATTTTTTTTGTATTATTTTTTGTATTATATTATTATTGAATCGAAGAAGCAAAGAAGAGTTTGTTTGTTTTGGTCAATAGCAAAGAAGAGTTAAACAAAGGTGTTATCCGATGTCTCTGAAGGGACAAGAAGAACACGATGTTAATCTGAAAAGATTCCATAAAATTTACATCAACATATTGTCAATCGATCTCTGTCAAGAAAGAAAAGAGAGCATATATATAGAGTAAATCTCAACGGGAATAAAAATCTGCATGTCACTGCCTGCATGCCTATATATATTTAATTCAGACCAGTCGGGGTGACATTGACAAAGATTTGAGAGATACCAACTACCCGTGGTACAAAATTCTTACCCTTAAATGAGAAGTAAAGATGATTGAGTGTAATACAATAGTTCTTACTATTTTTTTTAAAAAAAAAAAAACAGAATGAGGGCCGTGAGATGTTTGACTAGATGAAATATTTAAATTAAAGCAAATAATTAACATCTTTCAATTGAAATATAGATTAATGCGATCACAATAATGTTTGGTGCTATTGTACTAAGTAAAACCTTGAATCAAGCTACAAATAAAATGCCTATGTATGTAATGTCATTATGTACGAAGTTTGCACTCCACTGCGAAAGTCCTATTTGGTTTGAAAAATCGTAGGTTTTTAGTTTAGATGTTCTATTTGAGGATTGTAACAAGTAGTTTTTTCGGGTATGATTCTAGGGGACTGAGGGGTGCTCTATCAGGGCCTATTTTGTCTTCGAGAGGGTAGGCTACTTGTTTAGTCCGACGATCGAACCTTTATGTAGAGATGTACTTGCCTAATCCTTTGGGACATAGCCTGGTTTTTGTACTTGTTTACTTCTCCCCATCAATAAAACTTATCGTTGATTCTAAAAAAAACAATAAAATAAAATAGAGAGGAGTCGATCTAGGGCTTATACAATTCCAATAGTAGAGTACTTATTCCTCACACTCATTATTAGTCAGAATTCAAGTTTTAACTATTATTTTTCCCTCCCTCGAATCAAAAGAAGAGAGGATCGAGCCTTTCAACTATTTAAGATGAAGACATAAAACATAAATGTTATAATATTCTTATGAACAACATGAACCTAGTAGCTATGGAAATTCTTAAGTTGTAAAACACATATCCAACTATTTAAGTTCAAGACGTTTCAACTTAATTACTATGAGATGGGATGGTTTGCAGCCACTACACTACTAGACATCACATTGCTACACAGTCACCATTTTGGGGGCAGAATAAAGGACACCTATTGCATATGTCGCCAAGTCAACACATTTATAGGCTATATAGCCAATGATGGCACCCTCTTCCCCTCTTATCCTCGCAAGGACCATACATTTAAGTGCTTGGAAAAGATAAGATAAGGAAAAAGAAAAGAGCAACACAATTTTTTTCTATTTTCTGTAGGTTTTACAACAAGAAGACTTAAATGTATTTCAAGTTAAATTTTAGCTAGGTATAATTGGAGATATGGAGAGAACCAATCACAAGTTTCCAGCTCACATACTCACCCTAGCAATCATGGTGATCAATGTTAGAGTTAATGCAAGAATGAAATTCTAGCTTGATTGCTTTCTGCAAATTACAGTTTGATACATGTACAAAAATAATTCATGAAAAACACAAAATACAAAACTTTTACACAACATGTCATTGGCAGGAATGTAAAAGTTTTTTCTTACTTCCATATTCAAAATACACAGTTCTTCGAAGATCTACAATACCAAAAAAATGGTTAATGACCAAATAATCCCCTTATTTATATATATATATATATATATATATATATATATATATATATGTGGCAGTAACTTTGAGGCAAAAGCTTTGGAGGTCACGTTATTCAATTAGGACCAAAAAGGTACTGTAAGTGTACAGACCACTATTATAGTCAAAAGTTTTCTTCCACCTTTTACATCTGTTTTTGGATCTCTTTATTCAGTAAATAATAATTACATTTAGGTTTTATTTTTATTTAAATCCTTGGATAGAGGATCGAATCGAAAAAAGCTTTATCCGTATCTCACATTTTTATGTCTTTGAGGCTCTCTATATACTGGGCTCTCCCTGCTATGTTAATTCCCTTTCTCTGTCTTAAACATGAATTCCCACTAAGAGGACAAAGCAATTAAAAAGAAGGGTTATTAGTAAAAGATCAATTAAAATTTTGTTACAATGTACCATTTTATAATCTAACTTTGTCAATTTTTTGGTTTAAACTTGTGTGTCATTCGCATGTGATACTTTTAAAGAGTATGTTAATCTTCGAAATACTAATAGAGCTTATCTGAAAATTATCAACACGAACGTGTATGGATTGTTATTGAATTCAGCTTTTATACTTTAAACACAAAGATTGCACCTTTTTTTATAAAAAAAATGCAAGCGATATTGGGAGGGGAAAAATCGAATGTAGGACCTTAAATGCAGAGGTAAATGCTCTTAATCACTCACTACAAACTCCTTGCTATTGGACATATTATTATAGGTTACATAATAAATCAACTATAGAGAAAGATGAAATAAACCTTTGGAATGTGGGAGAATAGAAGGGAACGTGGGAAAACGCCAAAGGGAAAGAACCCAATTCCCCTTACATTCCTTAATGTCTCTGATGCCACACAACAAAACAAGGTCCCTTTGAAGTTTGAAGAACGCATGCCTTATCATGCTGACACAAAAACACACACACACATCCCCCTAATGTAAAAATTGCCCATCTCTCTCTCTCTCTCTCTCTCTCATGTATATATTGGCTCACCTTTTCAAGCTCCCAACATGGATTCTCTTTGCCAGTGCAAAACCCATCACCTCTCTCAAGAGATAGTACTAGATTCTATTATCACACTTTTTCTCCTTTCATCATCTTTAAATACTTATGGAGAGAGAGAGAGAGAGAGAGAGTTTATATATTATATCGTCTACTTTTATTTTGCATGGGAATTTAAGGGCTAGCTAGTGATCATCGATCCTTTTGAGTCAGTATACAATAATATATAGAGAGCATAGATAGTTGAAGAACTTTTATATATAAGAGAGCCCCACTCCCACTCTTGAAGTCATCATTGCAAGTGAGGTGGGTGGGGATGGATGGGCTGCTTTTTGCTTTGTTCGATCATACTTTTTTTTTTTTTTTTTTTTTTTTTTTTTTTTGGTTCTTTGGTATTGGTAGGGTTGTTGAAGGGAATGTCTCTTTGCTTGGGCTTGTAAATTTTCTCGATTTTATCTTTGAGCCTCCACTTGTCTTGGATTTGACCACCTGTGTGTGAAATGGAGGAACATTCAGGCACAAGCCCTGCTTGTCGCTACCTAATTAATTAATCATTAATTTGCAGTATTTATTTATATACAATTCTGATCATTTGCTCTGGCACTATTCCTTTGATCATTAACATTCTCTGATGATGTTGTGTTTCATTTGTTCATATATGAACAAAATACTGTGATGATGAAGTCAGATGTCACATTATTTGATGACCAAAATTCATGAAAGGTTTATTAACTAGCTCTTAATTAGGTGAGTGATATTTTAATTTCTTTCATGTTAAAAAGAGGTATCGAGTTCGAAAACCTAACTTGCAAAACCATTAATGATGATACGGGAACTGGGATTGTTTGTGGAAATTTTTTATGAGCACAAAGAGACTCCTATCTACAAAAGAAAGGGGGAGAAAAACAAACAAAGTGACTTCTCTGGCTGCAGTTACAGTAGTGAAATATGCAGTCACTCAGTTATGTACTGATTACAAATCAGCAGTTTTGATTCTTGTACAACTTTATACACATAAAAGCCATGCATAAAGCTGTATCTACATCATTGATATATACCATGTGTTTCTTGTAATTAAATTCTTAACTTTTGTTCTCAGAAAATCAAGCATTACAAATTTTATTCGGGGCGGTGACAGTGATGATCTTTAAAGAGAGAGAGAGAGAAAAACAAAGAAAAAGAGAGAGAAACTGGCCTTGAGATCCCTTGCTTTTTTTACATAAGTTTGGATCATAGTGTTCATAATCTATCTGATCGAATCCAATTGATCACAGAATACGTGTTATATATGGTATTGAATCATCCGAATGTTTATTACATGGCATCCTTAATGTTTCTGATCCTAAGATGTAAACCTCTGCAACTACAACAATGCTGCTATAATACTCTAACAGAAATAGGATAATCTACTCAAATTTTCTGTGATGATACAATGCTTATGGCCGAAACGAAATCTCTTAATCGAAGGGTTTGAGGTTTATAGGGTTTAGGATTTATATTGAAAAGAGAATGAAGGGCTGAAACAAAATCATGGATTTTGGCCATAAGCACATCATCAGAACAGAAATACAGAGGATTGAACCCGTTCTAATATTCTAGAGTCTATAGTTACACACCAAGTAGGAGCTGAAGAACAGTCCATCTGTTTCCGGCAAAGCCATTCACCATCACCCCCACATAACTGAATTGCTTGACTGCCTTCAAATCTGGTTGAAAATGGGGACCTATGGACTTGAAGTTTATCAAGTATGGGAACTAATTAGATCCTGACCGACCTTTCCTACCATGGAACCTTTCTTGTAATCTACCTTGTCCAATTGTACTATAAGTCTCTCCATTAGCAGGTCGAGTCACGATCCTTAGAGGGTGGGCTTCTGTGTTAAAAACCCATTCATCCAAAGAGATAAACGATGGAGGTGAAAAGAGGAGATAGAGATACTTCAGCGTTTCTGCCAGGAAGAAGCTCTGCATCATATTGTCTTTCTCACCTGAACTCACCTGAGCAAAATTGGCTAAAATACTTCAGTAGATGTAAACATATACATGTATAAACACAGAAGGAGAGAGTCCAAATCTTAACAATTTGGTTATTTATTTTGCAACCATCTCAAGATATATCCCATGAGAAATACAAGTGGTTCAGGGCATATATGCAGCACATCAAGGTATATGAGAAAATTTTCTTGTTCATGGCATATATTAAGTTCACCAACAACCTAACTTAGTGCTGCATATATCTGAAAAGAGAGTACTCTTAAACATGCTGAAAATACAACTCAGATGCGCGAACTCTCATTCAATTCATGCAAGCAACCAAAACCCCATCCCAAACTGCACGGTCTAGTCAAGGGGCCAGCCACATAGCACATATATGGACACTTACAACACCATAGGAGTGAGGAGTAGCAAAGGGTTCCGGTACATTTATATGTAACCTTCCCTTATATTTCTTTCTTTCCTTCTACTTTCTTTTGATTTATTTTTTGCATGAACGTAGTGAGGGTGCAGTAGGAGGCAACATAATGAAGTTTTCAAAATGAAAATAAAAGTGCAAGATGATGAAAATCATTTAATCATGTGAGTCTTGATTATACGTGTGTTTGTATGTAGTACCTGCCTCAGAATTCAAAGAAAATAATTTAAAATTCATTTCATGACATGTTCTTACATCTTTAAGTCCACTATATCCTGTATCTACTCGAGAGTTCTTTTCAAATGCTTGGAAAATATTCCAACCCCATTCTTGGTAAGTTTTGTTCCCAGTTAAACGCCAGAGGTAAAAAAGTGACTCCACCGTCTCCGGCCTCAAAATGCTCCATGATGTTCCAACGGTCATGTCCTGCAAAATTTTCTGATATCAAGCTAAAATTACTAAAACATCTTAGTGTAAAGTACGAGAAGCATGGAAGTACAAGACCTGTCCAGCAGGGAAGTAATAGTTCTCTCCAGCCAATTTTGTAGGTGTTGTCTGGTAAAAGTTATAACATGTCCATGCAAGCTACATGATAAATAGCAATTCAAGACATAAGCTATTGGATACCTGATAAAATTATCGTTTGATTGTGCATATTAATTGTCGAAACTGGAATAGTAAAGGTTAAGAAGCTGTGAAACTTTGTTAGCCAAATTAGATTACAATCTGAAAGCAGCGCTGTATAGTTTAGGTGGTTATAGACACTATGAGTTAAGTTTTAAGTAATCCTCTTAATTTGCAAATGAAATTTTAATTTTACGCCAGTCTAAAGGGTAAGTTATCCATAAACGATTGGATATAATAAGAGCAGGGTTTATCCATATCCATAATGTTATGGTTGATAGAATCTGAATGATGCAACATTACACACACTTGAAATCAATACAGACGAACAATTTTGGTTGCATACCAAGACATTAGGGTAGAGTTAAAGGTAAGATAATCCAAGACATTAGGGAAGACTGTGCCAAGGTATGACAAAGCACACTTCGCGCTCCTGTATCTATTGCTAATCCTTTAATCTTCAGTCCACTCTAGAACAGCTTTTTTCCCCTTCTTTTCTATCGATAACATCATTTTTTGCAGTAATCTTTGGGATTCTAAAGAAAAATCTCCCCCTTAAATGATGAAAAACGTTCAGTTTGATTTTCCTGTGTACACAGCCTTTTGTAGACTTATTTGTATTAAACCAAATTATTTTTTGACTTAATGTTTTTGTACAACATCATATGACCCCAAACCAAAACTGTTTTTATTTTATATGGCATTCCATACATACTTCTTCCACATCCCTCCCACCACCCTTCCTTCACCCTTCTTCATTCCTCTCTTTCTTCCATATACTTCCTCTCTATCTCTAACAAAAAATGAAAACTAAAAAAAAAAACGAAAAGTTTACCAAATGGGCCCTTATATTTGAATATTCTGTTCAATTCAGTCTCAAATAAAAGCATAACTCTTACATGTTTTATGCAAGACAGAGGAGAAATTTATTCCTTACGCTCCTTGTATAATCAGTGTACCCTGTACCTAATCAGAATTATGGAGCATCAGTTTACTACACTATAGTATTTAATACGTTTTTTCTTTCTTTTTGGGTGACATGACAATTATTAATCAGGTGCTTCAAAACTTCCATACATAAGAGGATAAACTGAGCCTACTCTAGCAAAACATGACCTCAAATACTTTCTCCAAAGTACCTCTTCAGCAAGGGATAAAAACTTTTCAGCTTCATCAGGGCCATAGCCGGTAGATCCTAAAGCCAACATTCCAGGAGCAAAGCAAGCTAATTCATCCATCTGCATACACCAAGCACAGCCCTCCAAAGTGTTCACAATTTAATTGACAAACACTACATTCTGCTAATTCATACACTACCTTATCGGACAGCGAGCTTCCAGTCTTCTCACATATATATGCATATGAGGATGGTGTTGTCCTCCGAATCAAACTTTTCAGACCTCTCATTGATGTCTCCCACATTTCTCTGATTCCAATATAGATAGGCAATGATTTTTTCATAACAGAGATTCAATTAACTGCCTCAGATGAGATTAATAAAGGTCATAGCATATCGTCATAAGTCATCAGAGAAAAGAAGGAGAGCACACATGAACAGGCATGTGCAAAAGCAAAAGACTGACATGTCTCAGCATTACCAACTGTGAAATGATCAAAATTGTGTACATCTATTCATCAGGATCAACTGTTATTCAAAATACTTCTAATGCATCATACTAACTGATGTCTAAAGCTTCCCACCTGTATTGCGTTACGGATTCAGTTTTGTTCCCTTGTATCCAAGCCTTGAGTAGATATTCATAAAAGCTGCATCCACAAAGAAATTTTGCAAATTAATTGGCCAGCCATACCTATGGATATAAACCCTCCGAAAGTTACTGGGTAATATGTGCTTTCAATTTTGAGAATGTCAGATATAGAATGGACTTTTGGTCCTCCTTTTGTTACTTTATATTTGTCCATTATTTCCAATAATTTTTTTTTAATCTTTCTTCTCCAAAAATAGATAAATAAAGTAGAAAAGCATCTACCAGAATACTTTTCCCTAGTAATTTGTTTATAATTGAGAAACATGAAAAAAATTCTAGAGATCACGACATGTGAAACTCATGACTGTCGTGGTCTTCTACTATGAAGTTTTTAATAAACAATCCATAATTTGACTTCATATTTCAACTAGGCAAATCAATCAAAAATTGATGGTTTTACCTTCATAACCTAAAACTTTCCTTCAACTTCTATTGACGTTGTTTAAAAATTTATCTATAAATAATTATTCAATTTCAACTCATTACAGTTGAATCCCAATAATAGCCCCAAAAATTCAATCTAATTCACGAAATACAGTTTCAGGATCAAAGGTCAGGGAAGTAAGCACTAGCTTGAGCTAGAGTCATAAACTGTGGTTCAACAGCCAATTCTTCTCAGAATCTGCAAGGCCTCAATCAATAGTAGAATTGTTGAATCACACATATAAAGCCTGGCATAGCTAACCTGTGATTCCTCTCCTTTAACAGTAATAAATTTTCAAATAAAAAAAATCATTTTTACCAAATATGGATAACAATGATTCCTAAGTTTCAATACCTATCACCCAAGGCACCAAAGGAAATTTTTGAGTATGAGGTAATTCCAGTGTGAGGATCAATATATATGGGAAGCAATCCATCAGCAGGGAAGGTTTTATGAAGTTCTTCAATGACATATTCCACCTGAAATATCAGCATGCAAACAGTTATAGTGAGGAAAGGAAGCAAGGGGTTATTCTATCTATCATTTACAATGTTTGTGCATTCTAAAGAAATTAGCTTGAGATATGAGGATAATAAGTCCATGGTAAGGATAATGCTATTCATCAAATAGGCAGGAATAAATCTACGTTCTGAGCTACATTTTCAAAGCATAAAGAGCACCTTCTGCTGGTATTTGGGATCCTTTGTCCTCTGAGATAGAGCAATAAATTCAAGCTGCTCTGAACCAGCATCTGCCAGAATACTTTTTCCCTAGTAACAGGAAATGTTTAAATAAACAAAAAAGATAATCTGATGATGTTAGAAAAAGATTCTTAACCGATGCCATTTACATGCCTACTTCAACTTAGCAACATATAGTTACAACCCAGAAATCTAAACAGTAATTGGTGTGAATACAGACTTTACAACCTAGGTTACACCAAGCAGATGTATGGTTATTTAGAGATTTTTTTTTTAAGGACCTTTCCTATTGAGAGGGGCAATACTAAGCTCACACACACAACACGGATGCTTGGACTCGAACCTAGGACCTTGCCTGAGGGAGTAAATACTCCAAACCACTACACTAGTGGGTCCTTTGCGGTTATTTAGAGATTTAGTAGTTAACAGATCATGTAGCTCAAACTCGGAAGAAGACACCAAAGAGTATAGATTTGATAGATCATTTCTTCTCCGGGCATATATAAAATACAGAATTGAAAATTTACTTGAGCCATCTTTGATCTTGTGAATGATATTATTCAGTTACTAATAGTTTTAATTTTTTAACACAAGCAAACAATAAAAATGATACAAACGATTTGATGTTCAACTTAAAAAGTAAAAACAAAAAGGGGCAAGCAATGCCATAGATGGTCTGGGAAGAACAACCTAAGAATATCAATCAGCAAAGAGAGAAGTTTGGAACTTACCCCTGTCCACCGAGGGTTATGGGCATCCCCATATCTCAAGTTTATTATGTTATAAGGGATTCCTGAGGGTGTATTCCACGCAGGGAGCAACCTATCTGCAATATCTCTAGCCTTTTCAAGGAACACTTTGTCATCAGAGAGATCATATGCGCTAAGAAGTCCACCTATAACTCTACATTCCACAAAAGTAGCCACAAAAGAGTAAGTCACTGGAGATGACCAGGAGCAATGGACATGTAATACAATATTCTGGAACTTGTCCAAATGAGGTAGGACCCCTTCTCCCACATCTGAGAAAAGAAATAAGTAACTTGGTATTTATATAGAATAAATTAAACCTTCTAACGCAACCTTATGGTTGTCTCAAAGACACTAGCCTCGTAATTCTTGTTGAAATTCAACGAATTTGCAACCCACCTGAAATTATTTATGATTATCAATATTAGCCACCTCAAAGTGAAACTACTTCAAGAATGGAAAAAGTAAAATCTTAACCAGAATAATTAAAATAAATTCAGATATTACAGCTAAAACTAGTTGAAAAAACTAACCTGTCAAGAAAACCATTTGCAAATTACAATTGTGTTTTCTCAATCTGAATGTGTATTGTTACAGTTATATACATGTTAAGTGTCAGCCATACATATGGAGAAACTATGATCTGTGGGGGAGATAAATTAAATCAGTTAAAAACTCACTCTCTAGCTCTTTGGAATTGCTCGTCAAGACCCATTATGTACAATGTATCAAGAGAATCCACTAGAGTTGCTCCTAGACCGCCAAAACTATCAACACCATCTCTTGTTTGTGGCTGTTTAGAATGAGAGTTTAAGTTATTAGAGTTGCAGTATTCATTCAGCAACACGTTGTCCCCATTGTGGTGCATTTCAATTTTATTAAATGAAAGTTTGTTTATTATATAAAAAACAAAACTAGAGTAGTAGTATTTGAATCCACTAATAAACAAAACCCTTAATAATGAAGCTATGTTACCAATGAAATTATGTTACCGCATTTATCAACCAATGTATATGTTAGGAAATCTGTTACATGGAGCATTGATTGAACATTAAAGCAGGAAGCATACCTGGAGTTCATCATGACCCCATGCGTACATCTCGTAACAAGCCCAGGCATGAATCATAGCCTCTTTAACTGCTCTTCTTCGTTCAACATTGAGAGGATCATCCTCCTCCTCAACAATGCTCCAACTTCGTATATGCTTCTTCACATTCTCTAGCTACAATTTACCATTTTTCATCAATCATCACCCTAAAAAAAATTCTCAATTCCAATTAATTCCACCACACTCTAATCTAATTAACCCATCTTTACCTGATTCTTCAAAGTTATTAGTTCCTTATTCAACCTCGAAACCACTAACTATTCAAATAAAAACGTCAGACATCACACATTTTCCAATTTCCTAAAATTACTCGGTAATTTCATCCAATTAATTTGGAATATTGATACAAATAGCTGAATATATAGCATGAGCATAGTGCACATGCATAATTACATAAATGATTCAAAAAAGAAAAAGAAAAAACCTGGTGCTCTACACTGAGAGATTCGAGGCCAGAGAGCAGAAATGTGAGAGCAACGAAGGAGATAATGAAGAGTGCCAACAGCAGCGGCCTCCTCAGGTTATGCTGCGGGTGAAGATATCTCCACCCTCTCCACCACCACGATTGCGATGAAGAAGACAACGATTTTTTTCCCATTTTTGGGTTTATTTTTATTTGTTGAGAGAAATAAAAATAAAAATTAAAAGAAAAATGAGTGAGATTTGAGGGAGAAATGAGAATGAAAGCTTTTTGCTTTTGGAGCTTTGATTGGCTGCCAAAATGGAAATGGAAAGTCGTTGGTTGATTTTGAACTTGGAAGAATGGTGCCGTACTGAGGGGGACGGAGGGAGTCTACGTGGATTGGGCTCAATACTTTTGGGCCTTACTAAACTTTGAACTTGGTTCCTAGCCCATATTTAAAAACTTTTTCACCATTTAGTGCTATGGCGAAATTGCTCTAAATTAATATAATTTATAGAGAGGGAATTCGAATTTTAGTGCAACGGAGCGGTTTATTGTCCGGACCAACTGGCCTCCACATCTGCATAATAGACGGGCAAATACTCTTTAACCACTTTAACTATATATGCTTTGTTTTGTTCCAGACATGTTTTAAATCATTACTTGCAATGTATTTCAACATTTTTAATCTTAGGGATTGTCGGTGTTGGTTCATTTTCTTGGAGAGACAGTCAGTTTATTGCAACCATTCAAGATTAAAAAAATGAGATTAACTAATGCACTTAGCCAACTACTCTCTGATATGCCAGTTAAGACTTCAAATTTCCATAACCTCATTGTCCAAGTCGTGCAACAGAGAAGCAGGCCAAAGAGAGCCACTCAAACACCACAAAACCACCAATCTAGCATTTGACATATAGTACAGTACAAGGCTTATGAACTGTTTCCACCCATCTACATCTAGCCCTCATCTGAATGAGGAAGCTTGCGCTTTAAGATCTCATTCTCCTTTCTCAGCTTCATAATCTTGGTCTTAAGTGTTTCAACCTGCCAAATTGAATTCGAATCTCGTTGCTGCTCAACGAGCTTTGATCTGCTAACGAGCGCTGAGTGTAGCACCAAACAAATCATTAGCATGTATTAGTTTTTGGCAGGCCAAAACAACCACCAAGAAATGACATGTAAAATAATTTGGGAACTCAAGAGAAACTGAAAGCAACCTCACACTCACATTCCTTTTGCAAGTCCTGGAGTTTTTTACTCAACTCATTTTTCTCCTCCTGTTCAATTGCAAGACAGTCCTTTAAATCCTGAATCTCCAGAATATCTGCAAAGGAACAATTATCCAATTGATCAACATGAACATGCTCCACCTGGTAGGTACTTGCTAACAGAGATAAAAGCTTGGGACCTCACATTTTGATTCCACATCTAACTGCACATGGTCCATCCTGCTTGCTAGAACATGCAGATGGGATTTATGAGCTGCTAAATCCCGTTGAAGGTGATCAACAGTTGCTTCATACGTCGCCTTCTCAAGCATAAACCCTCTGATATAAGCAAACAGTTTTAACATTTTACGTAGAGTAAATTTCTTTCGCTACACATTCTAAATTCATCAAACTGTGGATTGAAACCATACTTTTTAAACATGATTTCATCTATATTCAATGATTTAAATTCACGGTCTAACAATGTAACATAGACAAGATTTCATCTTGACAGTCTGATAACATCGCATACTTGCTATAAAAAAAGCCAAAATTTAGTCAGCCAAAATTTTATACTCAAATGGTTTCAAAATAATCCTCAAAGAGACTCAAGTATCAAATTTGGGCTAAAGTTGCAATCTTTTTCAATGAAAAACTATATTTTGGTATTCACTGAAAAACTCACCTAATTTGAGCCTCCAAGTCATCAACCTTGGCAGCACAGTCTTGCTTAGCCAATTCCATGGCCTTCCTATGCTCTACTTCTTTACTGAGGCACTCCTCCCTCATCCTCTTCACCTCTTCTTTCAAGCCCTGGCTTGAGCTACGGCGTTCAAGCTGATCGGCAACATTGTTCAAACACTCGGTGTACAATCTGGTCAATCGCTCATTTTCTGCATTTATCACATCAAATCAACGCTTTCCAATTCAGTAATCGAAACACTGAACTAAAAAACGCTGCGTTTAATTATCAAGAAGAAGTGACAGGCCTTGCTTGAGATTGTTGCAGGTGAATTCCAGAGCTTCTCGCTTCTTGACCTCGGCATTACACGTGGAATTCGCCGACTGGATCTCCGCCACGCCACTCTTGAAATCCTGAGAATTCTGAGTTCGAATTAAGAAAGAAAAAGAAAATCATCGATCGGTTTGTTTGGCTGCCGAGAAACGCTCGTTTTCTCTTATTTTTTTTCCGTGGTTTTCTAGGCAGCCAAACGGAATCGGTATATAGGATAGTCAGGAAGGAAGGAGGAAGAGGAAGATTTGTACCAACCTGGTAGATTTGATTCAAAGTGGAAAGCAGAGAATCCATTTCTTCGTCACTGGTTGCCGCCATTTTCTCTCCTTTTCCAATTGCTGCACTTCAGCGCCTTTCTATTTCTTTCTAATTTTTGTTTTTGTTTTTTGTTTTTAATGTTTGGATACGGCCTGGGTTGAGTTGGGTTGGGTTGGGTTTGGCTAAAATTAGTGGAGGAAATTTCATGTAAATATAATAAATAAATAAAAATAAATGAAAGAAAATATACAGTTTATGAGAAAATTTTATCTAAAATCAATGGTTAGTTAAAATTTATGCACGAGGTTTGTAGCTCAAATGGTCAGCAGCAATTAAGTCACTCCATGTAGTGTTTGAATCTCTCTTTCTCCAATATCGCTTGTATATAAAACCAAAAACATGAATAGTTATGCTATCAACCATTATTTCCTTTTACATAAGAAAAAGAAATGGCCTTTTGAGAAATATTAAGGGGATGGGTGGCCATACTTGCGATTATAAATGAGGTACACTTTGCATATTGGTTTAGGGTTTGGGGTTTGGGGAACTCAAGAGAAACTAGGAGACCGTTCTAGGAGAATCTGAACAATAAGGAATTACTGCCCAAACTAAGAATGAAGGGGACAAGAACTCAGCCCAACATGAAAAAAATATACATAATTTCTAGGAAGCAATTGGTGGCCAAAAGAAATAAGAACGGAAGGAATTTGAAACAAAAAAAAAACTAGTTCTTCACATCAAATCATGCCAAGCAAAATAAATGTTTCAATGTATATCCCAACAAAAAATTGGAACCAAACAAAATAAATGTTTCAACGTAGCCAAGTGTACCAAAAAATACACAAAAACTAACAACGAAATTGTGCACAACCATGGCAATCACTAAACACTAAACCCTATTTCTTGTATTTCCAAGTGCCAATTTTATTTTCATGAGCTTGGTCACCACATCCTTAAAGTCCATTCTTTCCTCTGGCACTTGTTCACAACACCTCAAGCTTATTTCCATGATGGACAAAATGATATTTTTTGTGGCATTTACGTTTCTGCCCTCTTCTATGCTCAATAAACCAGCATCCACTACTTGTAAACAATTGTTGGGGAGTGACTCATTTATCCATTGTATCAAAGTCTGTTCTCCGGCAAACATTTCATCTGTGGGTTTCTTTCTCGTGATTATTTCCAACATCATAATCCCGTAGCTATAAACATCACCTTTTGTAGACACTTTTCCTGTAGAACCATATTCTGTGGACACGTAAAACAATTTAGAGTGTTAGAGTCAGTCTCACGCGAGTGTGACACAATCTCAGTTGTTGATGATTAGTATGGGCTCCACAATCGATGGTGTGAATCCTGTTGTTTAGCTCATAAACATCAACACTGGAAATTGTGTCATGAGCAATAGATATGCTAGCATTCCCTATCAATTAATCTAAGACGAGAGATCAATAATTCACCATCAAATTTCAGATTTGCATAAGTTAAGGACAATTAGTTTATCTTAGTAACTAAAATAAATAAATTACTTGCTTTACCTGGTGCAACGTAGCCAAGTGTACCAAGAGTTCTGGTTTGTGTTTCGTCTTTATTTTTTGCCAAGATTTTTGCAAGACCAAAGTCACCCACATGTGCAACCATGTCTTCATCGAGAAGGATATTGCTAGGCTTCAAATCACAGTGCACCACAACTTCTGCTTGGCCATGGTGAAGATATTCCAGAGCTAAGGCAATATCAACCATCATGCTCACTCTTTGTACAAGATTCAGACAATAGTTGTGAGAGTATAACCACTTCTCAAGGCTGCCATTACACATGTATTGCAGCACCAAAGCTCTTACCTCATGGCTCGAGCATGAAGTTATGACCTTGACAAGATTTCTGTGCCGGATTGTTCTCCACACCTTACATTCCGCATCGAAACCTTTTAAGGCACCCTCCATTTGCAAGTTTAGAACTTTGACAGCAACCGTTGTTCCATTAGACAGTATCCCCTTGTACACAGAACCAAAACTTCCTACTCCGAGTGCGTTGCTTTCGCAGAAATCATTTGTAGCACGTCGAAGTTCTTGATATGATATCATCCTATGCTCTATCGCCGATAACGTGGGTTCAACTGAGCTTGGAAGGCCTGCATTTCTTTTTTTATGGTACTTTATCAACCTATAAACGAGAGCTGCAAGGATCACCGTGGAGGCAATGGCTGGAAGAATATACTTGAACAAATGTAGTGCTGCCTTAGAATTTTGAGTGCTTTGAGGGGTGCAATTTCGGACACCAAAATCTGGTCTCCCACAAAGTTCTCCATTCTCCAAAAATGATTGGGCAGTGAAGTTGGCAAAAGGTCCGCCAGAAGGAATCTGTCCCGACAGATGATTGAAAGAGAAATTCAAATGCTCGAGATATTTGAGTGTTTCCAGAGACTTTGGTATTGTGCCAGATAAACTGTTGTGTGATAGGTCCAAATCTTCCAACCCTTTCAGATCACCAAAAGTTTTTGGAACGTTTCCTACAAACAGGTTGTTTGACAAATTGAGAGAGCGTAGGCTTTGAAACGCTCCAATGACGCTTGGAATGTTTCCAGCAATTTGGTTCCAAGATAAATCTATCACTTGAACAGCATTCAACTTTCCTTGAGGTAAGTCGCCATTAAAAGAATTGAATGACAAATTTAAGACCAACAGACTTTCAAGGTTCCACAAGCTCATGGGTATCGATGATGTAAAGCTGTTGGAGTCTAGGAGAACTATTTGAAGGCGCCTGAGGTTTCCTATGCAATTTGGGATCAATCCAGAGATTTTGTTATTTGATAGCAATATTTCCCCTAGGTTCTTCAGGTGACAAAGCTCATTCGGAACAAACCCTTCAATCCTATTGTTTGGAAGATACAATCTTTGCAAAGTTTCCAATCCTCTAATTGATGATGGTATTTTTCCACTCAGATTGTTGTTTGCTAAGTGAAGGAAGGTCAAGTTCCTCAAGGAACCAATGCTCTTGGGTATCTGGCCTCTAATTTGGCATGCAGGTGCATAAATTACCTGGAGGGATTGAGAGAAGTTTCCAATGGAATCGGGTATGATGCCATTTAGAGGATTTTCAGACAAAATTATATATTCCAGTGAACTAGAATTAAACAAAGAAGAAAGGAATCTAAGCTCATCGAACCCGGGTTCTCCTGTTAGCTGATTTCCTGCCAAATTAAGGAATTGGAGATGTTTCAAGCTACCAAGATTCATGGGTATTGGTCCATAGAGCAAGTTGTTGTAAGCATCAAGCTGAGTGAGCTTAGTAAAATTTGAAAAATAAGATGGGATAGGTCCTGTAATTTGATTGGTATAAAAAAGTAAGGAAGTGAGGTTAGGAAGAAAAACTGCAGAGGATGGAAATTCTCCAGAAAGAGCATTGGATTGTATTTCTAAACCTTCCAAGGAGGAGATGTTGAAGATTACTTGAGGTATTGGACCTGTTAGGCTATTAAAAGCCAAGCCCAAAAAAGCTAGATTAGAAAGATGTCCCAAATTGCCTGGAATATTTCCCTCAATGTTATTGTGTGACACAGCAAACCTCTTCAAGTTGGACATGTTTCCAATTGAAGGAGATATAGTACCTGTCAGCTTATTACCACCAAGGTATAGGGTTTGAAGATGTTGCAAGCTCCAAACTTCTTCTGGGATGCTTCCAACAAAGCTATTGTATGACAGAGATAAGTCCGTAAGCTCGCTGCATTGACCAATTCTAGAAGGGATCTTGCCACTGAACTTGTTGAAAGAGAATGAAATGAATTGGATATTTGGCCAATAATGGCAAAGGTCCACAGGAAGACTTCCTGAGATGCTGTTCTTAACTAGAGAAATCATTGCTAGAGAAGTTAGGTTAAGGAGAGCAGAAGGGAATGAACCTGTGAGGCTGCTCCTGTCCAAGTTCAATCTTTCCAATGTTGAAATGTTACCCAAGGATGAAGGAATTGTACCCGTGAGATTATTCAGGCCGAGGTATAACCTACGGAGTCTAGGTAGGAAACCCAACTCCCTAGGTATAGGACCTGTTAGCCTGTTTACTTCAAGGACTAGGACTTCGAGCTTCTGGCAATGGTACAAAGTTGGAGGGATGCTTCCTTGCAGCTGGTTGTTATGCAATAAAATTGACCTCAGGCGATGTAAACGGCTGATTTCATTAGGCAAGGGCCCAAAGAAGCTGTTGTTTCGAAGATCGAGCGAGACGAGGAAGGAGAGGTTGCCAATATGAGGGGAAATGGTGCCTTGGAGAGCCATATAGGAAAGCTTTAAGGCTGTGACTCTTTGCCTGCGTTTGCTACAAAAGACCCCAACCCAATTACAGAAGCTTGTTTTGGTAGTCCAGTTACCACCCAAAACAATATTGGTGGGGTCAAAACGGAGTTTAGATTGGATGGCAAGGAGGGCAGATTGGTCTGTGAAGTTGGAAGTTGATGAAGATATGGCAGACTGAAGGAAGCATGAGTAGTGCAATAATACAAGTCCAAAAAGAAAGAGAATTTTTGGGCATTTCATCATGAACATGATGGGCAGTTTGGATGTAATATTAAGGTAAAGGCTCAAGTTTGGTTTGATAGTGCTGCAAAGATGCATGTGTGAATTTGCATGATCGGCCATCCGTTTATATAATAGTAGTGACAAGATAGCCATTTCCCTGGAGGTTTGACTTCAACAATTGACCCTTGTTTTCTTGCACTTCCATCAGTATCAAGAATTAATGAGTGGGACCATATAACTTATTAATAACTTATTCTTTTTTTTTTGGTCAATTGGGTCAAAGTTTGGAAAAGGAAAGAGGAATTAATGAGTGGGAACATATAACTTATTCTTTTTTTTTGGTCAATTGGGTCAAAGTTTGGAAAGGAAAGAGGAATTAATGAGTGGGACCATATAACTTATTAATAACTTTTGTTTTTTTTTTTTATGGGTTAATTAGGTCAAAGTTTTGGAAAGGGGAGAGGAGGTGCGATCTATGGACTTGTTGGCAACTTATTAATAACTAGATTAGTAAGCATGTATATATATGCATGGTTTTTTTAGTACAAGCAATACTCTAACAGAAGGAGAGGGTTTTTCTCTCACATACATTGCCACGATGTCATGAGGTTTCGAGCCTAAAATCACTAGTATGCAAATCAAGGCCCTTTTTCATTGGGCTAGACCCTATTGGCTATATATGCATGCATTTACTCTCTAATCAATTCCTAATAATCATTAATATTCTAATTAAAATCTCGACAAACAGTCTCAAACAACCCTTAATTATTGGATCCAATGTCATGCATTCCACGCTACGCCAACATCCAAACTTAATATTGGGACAAATAAATCATCATAAAATGGTGAATTTGGATCCACTCTTTTTTTTTCTCTCATGTTTATCGAACATAATCACATTGGGTCATCTATTTTCACCAACTTGTCATATTTCATTAACATGGGAAACAAAAAAATTATGCACATTGTGTTTCCATTGTCCATGTATAGGGGGCAGTCGTCTCTTGGGGTCCGAGGGCCAAAGGGTCAATCATCTTAAGTCCCATAAAGGTGCTAGTGGTCTTTGAAGACCAGAAATTTACAGCCCTTGTCTATATGTCGGCAGAGAAAATTGGAAAATTTGATTGGTAAAGATGTCTCGCAATCTAAGCTGCAATGTAAACATGAGAGGGGCTAACTCCAAATATAAATTTCATGGTCGAAGCTGAACGGAAATGTACCCAATGCATGACTAAGACTTTTATACAGCAGATTGAATATTCAACTTTCTATTGAATATTCAACTTTCTTGACTTGTCTTGAAGCAATTTGTGTGATGGAATGAAGTCTCTCTCTTAGATCAACTTCCAATGAAATGACAGAAAGCGGAAATTTGTGGAAAATTTCGTTGCTTGTTGATAAATTTGTGGAACTATTGATTTACATAATCACATTTCAGGTACTAATATTATAACTCAACGAGACGAGTAAATTTTTATGAGCAAGTGGATAAAGCAAATACAATATGGAAGCAAAAAATTTCTTCTTGTTTTTTAAACTATAGGTTTTAGTATCTTCAAAGAGCCTCTCTATCTTGGCTCCTTAGCTAATTGGAGAGGATTGTGATAAATGCATACTCCAACAGCCTTTTAAGGGCTCTTGATTTTATTTTTAATCTTTCATATAATATATTGGGCGATGGGGTAATATACGACTTCGAATGCATGAGTGAGTACTCTTACCCACTTACTAAAGAGTATCCATTTTAAAAACCATATTTTTCAGTTTTTTAAGTTTCGAGGAGAGACTTAAAATATTTCATTTGCTCTCTACACTTTTCTCAAGTACTCTAAGCTTTTTTCTTTTTTAAATAAGAAAAAATTATTCATTTCAAATAGCTCTCTACGTTTGTCAAGTACACTAATCCCATTCATGAATAAAAAGCCAATGGTGAAAAATTTAAGACTAGCTAGAATAAACGAGTGTTGGAGTTGTCACTTGAGAAGTGGCTATAGCTAAAATAAGCTTTAGCTGCTTTCAAACCTTGCGGATATAACAAGTTTCTTGGAAAATTGTGTTAAAGTATAAAACACGACACAATTGCAAGTGAGATATTCAAAGATTTTTTTGAGTCTTCGTAAATTGCTTGACTTGGACTGAGTTTGTAGTGTATATAAAGATCGATCCACCACGTACTCAACAAGTTCTGGCTCCATTTCACATTCACAGTCCTTGTTTCATAAAGACCTCTCACAAATCTAACTCCATCTCTCTCAACCAACCTGATAGTCCCCAGATATTTATTTCCAACGTTTTCCGTTCTAATTAAGTTCAAAACAAGGCAAACTTTTGCCAAATATAGTGTAATTGAGAGAGTTGAGAATGTATAATAAGAAGAACAAGATAGGTTTTGCAGAGAATTCAAATCTGCCAATTGAGTTTCTTACTTAGTGAAGGGTTAGATATACAAGTATACAAGGTGATTATTAGTTACAAACAATGCACAAGACATGGAGGGAAACATGGAGAGTTTCCATCCCTAAAACAAGGAATATGAAAACAAGGAAAAGTAACAAGGTGGTAGACAAGCCATTTAGGGATGTCTATGTTTTGTCTTTGACTTTACTAACACTCCCCCTCAAGTTGGTGCAAAGATATCACGCATGCCCAACTTGTCCAGTGAGTCATGGAAAACTTTACTTGATACGGCCTTCGTCAAGATGTCAGCAAGTTGGTTTTCCGAGTTTACAAATGGAAACTTGATTATACCCCTTTCTAGTTTCTCTTTGATGAAGTGTCGGTCGACTTCCACATGTTTGGTACGGTCGTGTTGTACTGGGTTATGTGCTATCTCGATAGCTGATTTATTGTCGCAGTACAAGTTTGTAGCTTTCAATGGTTTAATTCCCAGATCCTTCAGTAATTTCCGTAACCAGAGCAATTCACAAACTCCTTGAGCCATTCCCCTAAATTCTGCTTCAGCACTTGATCTAGCCACAACTTTTTGCTTCTTACTTCTCCAAGTGACTAAGTTGCCCCCCACAAATGTAAAGTATCCAGAAGTAGAACGTCTATCTGTGATGGATCCTGCCCAATCCGCATCTGTGTATCCTTCTGGGTTCATATGTGTATGTTTGGAGAATATCAACCCCTTGGCAGGGGCAGCCTTCAAGTACCTCATGATCCGAGTTACTGCATTCATGTGTGCCTCACTTGGTTGATGCATAAACTGACTCACCATACTCACAGCATAAGCTATGTCGGGGCGTGTGTGTGATAGATAAATCAATCGCCCAACCAATCTTTGATACCTTTCTTTGTCAGTGGGTGCTTGGTCTGGATACATCCCTAACTTGTGGTTCTGCTCAATAGGTGTGTCAGCTGGCTTACAATCAAGCATTCCAGTATCTGTTAACAAGTCTAACACATATTTTCGTTGGAATAGAAATATGCCATGTGTTGATCTAGCAACTTCTATGCCAAGAAAATATTGTAACTCACCTAATTCCTACATCTCAAATTTACTAGCAAGGAGCTTCTGCAAATTCTTCATTTCTTCATTGTCATTACCGGTAACCACCATATCATCAACATAGATGATAAGGGCCGTAAGTTTGTCACCACGACGCTTTAAGAATAAAATGTGATCCGAGTTGCTCTAAGTGTACCCAAAACGCTTCATGGAATCGGTGAATTTTCCAAACCAGGCTCGTGGTGACTGCTTTAGCCCATATAATGATTTTCTCAGCTTGCACACGGTGTTGGGACCAAGTGCCATGGAGATCCCTGGTGGTGGTTCCATATACACTTCTTCTTGCAATTCCCCGTGAAGAAATGCATTCATTACATCATACTGCAATAGTGGCCAATCAAGGTTTGCAGCCAATGACATGAGAACACGTACGGTATTGATCTTGGCAACAGGTGCAAATGTCTCTTGGTAGTCAATTCCATATGTTTGTGTATACCCTTTGGCCACTAATCGAGCTTTGGATCGATCTATGGATCCATCAGCTTTGTATTTAATGGTGTATATCCACCGACATCCAACGGGTTTCTTCCCTTGTGGCAACTGGACTATTTCCCATGTAGAATTCTTTTCCAGAGCTTCCATTTCAATTGCCATTGCTTCAGCCCATCTGGAATCTGTTATAGCATCCTGCCACTTATTTGGAACACATACAGTAGATAATTGATTGACAAATGATGCATATGACTTTGACAATCTATGAGTTGAAACATGGTTATTAATGGGATATTTAGATTTGGCAGTAAGGTCAGGACAATATTGAGGCTTGGGTTTTCCTCTAGTGGTCCTAGGTGGGAGAGTGTATGGTATAGCATTAGGTGCTTCGGGAATTACCTCAAGTGTTTCCTCATCACGAGACGACTGGTCCGATGGTTGAGAAGAAGGGGTTGTATTTTGTTGTTGATCGCAGCAACCATTTGAATTGTCTCCTCCGGGATCTTCACCAAATAAGAACGACAATTTTCCAATACCTTCATCGCTGCCCAAATTTTGAAGTTCACTGGTGCTTGGCGACCGGTCGCTGGGTTCTGTGCGACCGGTCGTTTTGTCACAAAGTCGATTTTCCTCCCTGGAGTCTGGACGACCAGTCGCTTCTATATTACGACCGGTCGTTTTGTCACAGAGTCGATCTTCATCATCCCTAGAGCAATGCGACCGGTCGCTGTGGTCAGTGCGACCGGTCGTTTCAGGAAAGCGACCGGTCGCTTCTGGGTTGCGACCGGTCGTTTTGTCACAGACTTGGATATTTTCTTCCTTTTCTTCCTTCTCTTCATTCCTTCTCTCCCCCTGAAGAGAAGGGGGCATAGCAGCTTTAAAGTAGGATAAATCTTCATGAAATGTGGCATCCATAGTGACAAAGAGCTTACGAGTAGGAGGATGGTAACACTTGTATCCCTTTTGAGTTGATCCATACCCAACGAACACACATCGAATGGCACAAGGGTCCAGCTTACTTCTTTGATGAGATGGAACATGAGCATATACAACACAACCAAATATGCGAGGAGGCAGCTTGAGGACTGTAGGAAGAGAGACATGACGAGCCAAGGTGTTCAGTGGAGTTTCAAACTTCAAAACACTACTCGGCACTCGATTAATTACATATACTGCAGAAAGAAGGGCATGTCCCCATAAGTAGTGAGGGACCGATTTATCCAGCATGTAAGCACGAGTAACCTCAAGTAATTGTCAATTCTTTTGCTCTGCGACACCATTTTGTTGCGGAGTGAAAGATGTGGAGGTTTGATGAATGATGCCTTGGTCTCGAAAGAAATGTGCCAAGACATTGTTCACATATTCCCCACCATTATCAGACCGGAATACTTTGATGGAAGCTTGGAACTGTGTGGTAATCATAGCATGAAATTCACGGATTGCAGCGGAAACGTCACTTTTATGAGCTAATAAATATACCCAAGTCATGCGAGTACAATCATCAATAAATGTAATAAACCATCTTTTGCCATTGGAAGAAACTTTAGCAGGACCCCAAACATCAGAGTGAACCAAATCAAAAGGGAATTCCGTTTTATTATCACTTAAGGGAAAAACAGTTCGATGGCTTTTGGCCAATACACAGGTTTCACACTGAAACTGAGAATGATCTAGGCCACGAAACAAAGACGGAAACAAACGTTGAAGATAGCCAAAGGATGGATGTCCTAGACGACGATGCCAAAGCCAAATCTGATGTTGATTGCGAGCTCGTGAGCTGGAACCTTGAGTATGAGCTGCCCTTGGTGGTGAAGAGACCATCAAGGAATACAACCCCCCCTCTTCGTTTACCATGCCCAATCGTCGCGTGAGTCGTGAGGTCCTGAAAAAGACAATGGGAAGGAAAGAATGTGGCATAACAGTTATGTGAGTCAAGTAATTTTCCAACAGACAGCAAATTGCAATTGATGGAGGGAACAAGTAGTGTATGAGATAAAGATAAGGAAGGGGAAAGTGATATAGTTCCTTCACCAGCAACATTAGAGGGGACTCCATTGGCACTAGTGATGTAAGGATGACGAGACTTAGAAGATATTGTGGAAAACATAGTAGAGTCAAAAGTCATATGATCAGTGGCACCTGTGTCAATTATCCATGTAGTGGGTCGTGTACCTGATTCGGAGTCGGAGAGTAGGGTGGAAGATGGAGAGGCATCGGTAGTTATAACACATGCTGCCTTGGGTGTTTTGTTGCGGGACTTGAGAGCATCCCACCACTCAGGATAACCATGAAGCTTAAAGCACTTCTCAACAAGATGATTACCACCACAATGAGTGCACTTCTGAGTTCCCTTTGCATCGTCAGTTTTGGGACCCCGGGGGGGAAATCCGGAGGACGTACGGTGTGGTGGTCGATAGGGCTTGACGGCCATTGCACTTCCCCCGCCAAGCATGGAGGATTGTCGGTTATCTTCTTCTACCACAAGTGCATAAGCTTCAATGACTGCTGGAAGCGGATTCATGGCAAGAATCCGACTACGAACAGAATCAAAGTTGGGATCGAGTCCTCCCAAAAAATCGTACACACGTTCCACCTCAAGTGCTTGTTGGTGAAGAGCCACATCATCGGGATTGGTATGTTTGCAGGGACGGAGGCTGTCAATTTCCTGCCATATGATGTGTAACTTTTCATAGAAGACATTCACAGGCTCACCATTTTGAGAGGTGGTGACGGACTGGCGACGGAGTTGGTACAACTTGGAGCTATTCTGAGTAACAGTGTAAGTCTTCCGAGATGCATCCCACACCGCATAAGCCGTTGAGCAATGGTCAAATAAGGCACGTACATTTTTGGTCATGGAATTGAGGAGCCATGACTGCACCAAACAGTTGTCTTCATCCCAAGCTTCATAGCTAGGATCATCAATGGCAGGGGCAATCTTTTTACCATTAATGAAACCAGCCATACGACGAGCAGTGATGGCCAAGCGAACACTACGAGACCATGCAGGATAGTTGGACCCATCCAACTTATCAGGAGTAATTGGAGAGTAGTCATGAGAGGACCGGGGTGGTGGTGGTGTTGTGGAGTCGATCTTGGTGGAGTCGATTTTAGAGGAGTCGTCCGTGGAGTCGTTGATGGAGTCGTTGGTGTCACCCATGAGGTAAGTATATAAAAGGATGTAGAGGAAGAATTAGCTTAAAACTTCAGCAAACAGGAGCACAAAAAGGGCTTGTGATCAAGACCAATTTTGAGGCAAGGCAAAGTATGAGGTAGGAATAATATAACAGCAAATTATGGGCAAGGATAGGTAGAGATTTAGGCAAGAACAAGGTTATGCAGAGGCAACCAAAATCGATTGCTCTGATACCATGCCAAATATAGTGTAATTGAGAGAGTTGAGAATGTATAATAAGAAGAACAAGATAGGTTTTGCAGAGAATTCAAATCTGCCAATTGAGTTTCTTACTTAGTGAAGGGTTAGATATACAAGTATACAAGGTGATTATTAGTTACAAACAATGCACAAGACATGGAGGGAAACATGGAGAGTTTCCATCCCTAAAACAAGGAATATGAAAACAAGGAAAAGTAACAAGGTGGTAGACAAGCCATTTAGGGATGTCTATGTTTTGTCTTTGACTTTACTAACAACTTTATGATTCGCACATGTATCAATGGCCAGAAATTGCAGATGTGCTCAAGTACTAATTGACAATACAATGCTAATTAATTCCTCGTTTGGGACTACCCCACAATATCATTTCATTATCTGAATTTTTTAAATTTTAGATCATCATTTCAAGATCACCCTTGCAAAAGTTTAGCCAAATTAATCAAAATTATTTAACCATTTGACTATTATCGTTAATATTTTCATTGTTTTTAGAAAGTATTATGTTCGTCTGTGTATTTTCTTATAGCTAGATGACTAAGTGTTGTTTAATTTGACAAATTTTTTTATCAGGGTGATCTTTGAATGATGACCTAATTATAATAATGAACGGTTCAAATCATAAGATGATATGGTGAAGTAGGCCCAAATGATTAGTTAGCTTAGCTCCATATTAACTTCCTGAACCGGTTGCACTTGAGCTCTCCTGCCCAAGAAAATATACCAAATACTCTAGAAAAATCAACTGCGCCAAACAAAATGTTTTTATAAAAACTAATACCTCTTGTTTTGGAAACAAAAATACATATATATCATGGGACTTAATTGAATATACCTAAATCATACACATACTGTGGTGGTGGTGGTAGAAAACGTCGATCGAGTTGAGGGAGGGTAGGGGAATAGGTTCGCAGATATTAAAGCTGAGATTAAGATAAATAGTTATACATAGTTCGTAGATAATTATGTAATCAAAGGGCACAAGAAAATGAAAGGAAAGTCTTTTCCGCTCAATCAAAGGACCATTTTCAATGATAATGTACAACACTGTCTTGGAAAAGATGTATAGGGGAACTGCAACCTTTTATACATCTCCATATTTTCGTTAAGTATATGCATTACTATTGATATTAACTGATCTTGTGTAGTATGTCTATGTTTTTAAAAACAAAAATAAAAAATAATTAATGAGCATTTATCGTGTATAAGATTTGAATTTAAAACATCTTCGAACAAAGTAGAAATTGAGTGCCACCAAACTACATGATCATTGTCTTATAATATGCTTATCGTTCTAATTTTAAATCGAACTCTTGCAAGTATAGTAAGGATTTCGGTATTAAAGTTAAAATTGTTGATTATTGTGGAGGAAGAGGCTGTGGAACCATCAATCCTTCTGAGAAGAGTTTCAGATTGCTTGCTGATCCCAAGGCTGGGAGAATTAAGATTAAGTATTATCCATCAGACCTTTAAACAGATTGAATTGGTTTATATCCAAATACATTTAGATTCATGTTATCAGATTATGATCCGAATTCGATTATCAGAAACTTATTAGTCCTAGAGAAGATTAAAAACATAACTCCGTTTGTTGTATTTAACTACCGTTGATTTTGAACCACCATAGTAAGTGAAATACTCTACAGTCGCATATATTATTAGAGCTGGCAAACGGGTCGTTTTAACGGGTTTCGGGTCGTTAACGGGTTAATCCGTTTTCTTAACGGGTTGACACGAACACGACCCGTTAAGTTAACGGGTGACAAATACTAGACCCAAACACGACCCGTTACAATTCGCGAATATCCGACACGACCCGTTAACCCGTTAAGAATAAACCAGAAAAAAAAAAAAAAAAAAAAAAAAAAAACACCCCGTTAAGAATAAACCAGAAAAAAAAAAAAACTATCACAGCTTCTCTACCAACACGCCTTCTCTGTCTTTTTTCCCCCAAACCCCAACCCTAACTTTTCTTCCCTCTTTCCCTCTTCATTTCAGTCCTCTCACCCCAAAACAGTATATATCTCTCTCTCACAGATATCTTAAAAACTTAACAACTAAATAAATTGAGGAAGAAAGAAAATTCAAAATTAACTGAGAGAACCAAAACCAACAACTCTAGAATCAATCACCCTCTGTGGACCGACCTAGATACCTCCTCCTTGATCCCTGGTGGCTGGGTTGGCGAAGTCATCCCTGGTGGCTGGGTTGGCGGAGTCTATTGAGTGGAGAGAAGAAGAGCAGAAGAGAATCTTGACAAAAAGATAGCAGAAGAGAAAAAGAGAAGAACAGAGCAGAAGAGAAGAACGAGAGGAAGAAGAAAAAGGAAAAGGGGAAAGAAGAAAAAGACAAAAAGGTAAGAAGAAAAAGACACGGAAAGAAGAAAGAAAAGGGGAAGAAGAAAAGAAAAGAAAAATATTTTGCAAAATTACAAAATTAACCTTCTTAACGGGTGGTAACGGGTTAACCCGTTTTCGACCCGAAACGACCCGTTAGCTTAACGGGTGGCTAACAGGTTCACCCGTTTTCAACCCGACCCAATAAGCTCAACCCAAATACTGATAATTTCGTGCGAATTCGTGTCGTGTTAACGGGTCGTGTGCAATATTGCCGGGTCTATATATTATCTTAAGTTTGATTGGATCTGATAGCTCTAGTCTATATTTGTTTTGTTGAGTTAATGAATTATAAACAACAGTCAAAGAAAGAAAAGGCAACTTGGGTGTTATCAGTTTTCTTCTTCCTCTTCACCTTTGCATTCAATTTTTTAATTTGAAACCCTAGTTCTGAATGATTAATGTGAATCCATATATCATGGGAAAACTTCAAAAAAATTAAAAAAATATTTTTAGGCTCTTTCAGATTTTTGGTTCCTACTATTGTTTTTCCTTTTCTTGTTAGTATGCACTTTCCATGATTGGTAAAACCAAATTATATTCTTAAGATTATGCAATTATATGGTTGTTTTTCATTGAGAACTGTCAAAAAATATCCCTCTTCAGTGGGCAAAATAGGCCTGTAAAAATGCCCCAACCCTATTTTTTAGGCAATGGGTTGGCTTGACCCGTTATTAAGGGCGGTCTCAACCTGGCCCGTTGTGTAAAGAGTGGACATGTGCTTTAAATTTTATTCCATGGGAAGGCGAGCCCTGCCCGGTAATTAAGTTAATAAATCATATATTTATAAAATAAGCTAATATTAATTACTCTTTTATTTAATTAATTTTATTTTTTTAAAATACAAGTAATAATCTAAACGAAAAGGAAATTGAGTTTCTCACACACACACTACCAAGGTGTTATGGAGGTTTGAACCTGAAATCACTAGTCTACAAGTCAAGACCCTTAGGTAGGAGAAACATTTGTGTGCAACAGGGATATCATTGTTTTGCTATCCTCGGCCAATCACGCTATGCCACGCGTGATAACATTTCCATTTGGCATAGCGTGATTTGTTGTTGATAGCTAAACAGTGCTATCCTCATTTCATTTAAGTTTTTCTATATGGGTAGGACCTGAGCTTAGCCTATTTAGGATAAGATGGGCCAGACCCAGCCTATTAAACCCTTTGGGCTGAAAAAGCCCGCAACTAGGTAGGGCTTAGGCTAACTCCTCTCAAGCTAGGGCTGGCCCAGCTCAACCAAGTTTACAGCCCTAGTTTAGTTTATAGTTTATAAATTACACCCCAAAGATGTGTAGAAAAAAAGAAGCTTTTGGTAGAAATCTACAGTAACTAATATCAGCGGACGTACATACTTCTATCATGGAGAGCTCTTACCATTAAACCCGCAACCAACAAGGTTGATATTTGTGATGGTCAGGAGGAGAGCAAACCCCCCGGAGCTACAATCCTCCCGCGTGTTTGAAAAGGCATTCATCACGAATGCTTCCTGAGTAACTTCAAAATTTGGATTCAAGCATGAGTAATGGGAGAGTCATGGATGTGGCTTTTCTTTTTTTGCTTTTTGTTTTGTGTACTTAGTTTTTTTTTAGTTTTTTTTTTAATAATTTTATTTATAAATTTGGCTTAGAAAACTTACATTTGCCCCCAAAATGTAGGTCACGTGCTTATTTTTAATGAAAAAATTGACAGATTTACCGAAAAGGACTACTAGTGCAACATGTGATCTAATTCGATTTTTAATTTTTCAATTTAAGTTATCTTATCTTTTTATAAATTTGATTTATTAATTATTTTAAAACATAATGAATTTCTTATGATTTTTTGTCCACATGGAGCACTTGTCCGCATTAGAGTTATACTCACCTATGCCACGTAAGCATTTAACGGAAAAAATTAACAGATGCACTAGTAGGGAGATCAATATGTAAGGTTTATGTGAGTTCGTGTACAAGTTTGCAAGATTTTAAAGGTTGGATATTAATTTGAAATGACCTAAACCAAATCATCTATTTTTCAAGGCTACATTCATAGATCATCCTTACCAAAAATTAGACAAATCGAAAACCGTTTTGACATCTAATTGTGTCCTACAAATCAATGAACTTGGTGCTTTAAGAAAGTACTAAACTTACAATAATTGAATGGCTAAATTGGTGAAATGCCCCCTGCACTTGTGCCTAATTTTCAATTGACCCCCTATGCTTTTTATTTTTTGAAAAATTAAGAATATGAACTCTTTCTTTTTTGCCAATTTCCCCTCTACGGTCTAAATCTTCAATATTTCATCTAATTTTCAATTAAATCATTAAAAAAATTATTTTTTAAGAAACAATCGAAGAAAAAGAGAACCAAAAAAACAAAAAAACAAACTTGGGACCCCTTGACCCAAACCCATCCCCCCGTTTATTCTCTTCACCATTCCCCAGGACCACCACCAACAGACACCTCCCCCCTCCTCTCACGCCCCCACCCCCTTCCCCCGATTTCTTCTCCGCTCTGCCCCTTTTTCCCACTACAACCCACTTATACCCATTCCCCTCCTCCCCGACATGTGCCCCTTCTCGCCCCCTTTCCCCATCGCAAGCCACCCAGACCCATCCGTCTAACCCAGAACCCAACCCCCACTCCCCCCACGATTTATCTCTCCTATTCCCCATGACCACCACACACAACCCACTCTGCACAGAGAGAGAGAGGGAAAAAAATTCAAAAATTTAAAGTTTTAAAGTTCTAAATTTTATTTTTCAGTATTTATTTATTTTTAACATACAAAATGACCAATTTGCTCTCATATTTAAAGGAAGATTTGATGAAATGTTGAGGATTTAAACATTAGGGGGGAAATTGGTCAAAAATAAAGAGTTCATATCCTTTATTTTTTTTTAATAAAAGGATAGGAGGTCAATTAAAAGATGATCTTTGTAATATCTAATTCAAGTGAGTGGTCAAATGATATCAATTCAAGTATTTTTGGCAAAAATGATCTTTGTATGAATATTTATAAAATAGACGGTTTGGATTAGTGAAATACAAATCGAAGTGGACCCTACAATGATGTCCTTCATGATAAACCGTACATTATTTAGTTGATACATTTAAATGACTAAACGATCAACAATCTATATATATATATATATAGAGAGAGAGAGAGAGAGCAATTTCTTTCTTTTTTTTCTTTCAAATATGGGATTATTGAGCAACACAACCACTGCTGATCATCCCATCTTTTTAGCCCGAATCTTACATTACAGGATCAAAAATAATCATACAACACAAATACAATTACTTTTACAGCAAAAAAACTGAAAGAGGATATACAACATAGTGCAGTGCCTATTCCAAAATTTCTATATACCTACACCCAAATTATACTGATGGCTAATTTTCCCACAACAATTGCTCATCAATCTTGCTCAGTTTATCATCGTCGAGACGCTTCCATGTCTTAATCCTCTCAACTCCCGTCCACCCTTTCTCCCCCTTCCCGAGTACTGCCAATATGACCCTTGCTCTCCTTTGCCACCCTGCCTTTCCATAACCATGGTATCCAAAGCCCCCACCGTAACAAAACCAAATATTCTCCAGATCCCCACAAAAGTCATTGTTATGATCATGTCCCATGAACACAGCTTTCACATCTCGCATGGATACAAGGGTCTGTAAAACTCCTGAGTTCACCGATGAACATGCCACAGCCTCCTGAAACTGACCAACAATCTTTTTGTACCACAGCTGCCGGACCTCTGGAATTGGGATATGGAAGAATGCAAGCGCCAGTGGTTTATCCTGCAGAAAAGCGTTTTCTGAGTGATCTTGATCTCAATTATGGCACTGTTAGTGTGTTACCTGCAACATCTTAATGAAATCTAAATCTAATGAAACCTCCCTTGCGGGAATTGGAAGAACATGCTGAGCAATGGTGCACATATAGCACGAACAACTTGATGCAGAATTGTAATTTTACAAGTGTGGGGTTAAAATGATTTTACAACATATAAAACTCATTTCCACTAAATTAGGGAAAAGTATACGTGAATTTTAATGGAAAGGCCACTTCAAAAAGCAAGTGTAAAAAGTTTCTGAATTTGTTTCTTAATAATCAGAACAATCTGAAATCAATCAGATAAAATGCAACAATATGCAGTCATAGTATCCTTGTTGATTGAATATGTCGAATGCATACCTGATATCCCTGAGAAATGCCATGAAGCCAATCGAGTTGAGATTCCTTAATCCAACCATAAGTTCGAACTCCTTGAACCGTCTCCCTGTCTCCACTGTCAAGAAAGAAAAGATTGAGGATGCTGCTGTTTGCCAAATGGGAACCTGGGGCACCATATACTCTCAGATCATAATTTCCAAAGCCATCAATTTTTTTCCTGCTTCCTCTGGCAAGATTTGAGAGATCTTCAGCTGATGGATTAATTTGAGAAACTGAATAATCCATAAGGGAGATAAAAGACATCAGTTCTTCACGATTCATCGTAGATTCTTGGTCGTGGTTGCCTAAAATTGCTGCCCATGGAAGTCCTGATTCAATGGCAGGACCAAATGCTCTAAGCAAGGATTCAGCAGCATCAACAGAGCTTGACCCAAATATATTATCTCCTGTTCACAAACAGAGTCAAAATCAATACTTGGGGGAGGGGGGAGGGGAGAGAGAGAGAGAGAGAGAGAGGGATCAGTACTAACTTAGTTAGTTTTACTTTAACTATGTCAGATACAGTTGGGCCATGACACTACATGTAAAGTAACCTATATTCAGATAATTGATGCCTACATTCACTCAGAAACACTCACATAACTTAGAATTTACTGGAAGTTGGAACCATCCAGATACAGAGGATGCACAAACTAATGAACTAAGCCCATTTTTAACTTTTCCCCACCTCTTAAATGCCGTATGAAGAACTTCGGCCCTGGTTAATTAGAAGGAAAGAGTCTAATAGCTGAAGATTAGAGGCTACAGCTGCATGCACCTAATAAGATAGGATACAGAACTTGAAGAAGTTTTAGCTTAAAGCATCATGCTTCTGCACCTTGATATGAATATTATCTTGGGTCTAGATGTTTAATGAAGTTTGGTAACCAGTCAAGGTGGTTTAGTTTCTCAATTTTCAAACTAATTTCTATTATTTCCTGCAAATTTCACACGTTTAACTTCTCGACATGAAAACTCCATGAAAAGGATATGGCACATAGGATGAGAACAATGTGGAATGTGTTCCAGTAACACTGACTTATATATGATTTTAAAACTTTGAGTTCTAATATACATAAACTTCTTAATTTCAATAAGCCTGACTGAGTACAAGCATTCTTACAGGTAAAATTTTAAATCTTTTCATTTTTAAACAGCTCAAAGCATGAGAATTTATTTTTAGATTACCTAATGTGCAAAAATAGCTAGCCCCCCAAAAGATTAACATCCACCACCAAGTAAATAAAAGAGTAAAAACAAACTAGAAAATATCTTAACAAATAACAACACTTGAAAACTAAAAACAAGAAAACCAAACCAATCTGTAAATTTCCAGGGAAAACGGGAAATGAAAAAGAAAAAAGAAAACTGCACCTGTAAAAGCAATGAAATCAGGCTTTTCAGCTTCGATCATCCTCTTCAAGAAGCGAGACGTATTGAGATCAGAGCAGTGCTCAAACTCAGAGTCCAAAACGTCTCTGCAGCGAGTCAAGGCTCCATTTCCATAATGCATATCAGCCACCTTAATCACAGACAAAAACTGCTTAACATCTTAATTACACAATAATTTCAAGCATCACATACATAATCAAAGCATCAGGTGAAGTACCTGCAGGATTTTGAAGGTGCCATCAGAGCGGAAGCGAAGGGGAAGATCTGGGCTGGTCTTCTTAACTCTCACAGGCCGATGGCCTATGAGTAAATTGTGAGAGATTTGGTTGTGGAGGAAGCAGAGAAGTGAGTAGAGAAAACCCAGATAGAGAAACGAGTGCTTCCAGTTTGCTGCTTTGGACGATTCCATTGAAGGCCTCAGCTGAAGGTCCAGATTCTTCAGACAGTGGGGTTGCGGTCCGGTTCAGACGGACCGCTTATTGACTTATTTTTGTCTTCCCGCGGTCTACTGTTTTGTAAAAGTTAGGGTCTTTTGATTTCTCCAGGGGTCTCTATAAAATATTAAAGTTATGAACTACATAAAATAGCCTCGTCTTCTAACCAAAAAAAAAATGTTGACAGAGTAATAAAATTGTTAATTTCTTCAAACAAATATTGTTGTAAAATGTTAAGCTTTCCTAACAAAATTATTATGTTAGCAGAAAATACCTATATATTGAGGGTAAAATTGTATAAATAAAAGAATAAGTTAAACAGGGAAAGAAAAGTAGTAGTCTTTTTATTTATTTCATACAAAACTAGACTCTCCGCACGCACTTCCGCGCTTGCAAGAGGCTTTTTTTAAAAAAAATTTAAAATTTATTTTAGAATTAAAAAAGATAATGGATAGTTGTGTTCCATAAAAATAGGATCCATTATTTGATTTTTCTTTTAATTTTAATTTTTTTAATATGAAAAAATGTGGATTTACCATATTATCCTCATTTAATTAATAATTTCAATTCTTAATATTTGCATTAACCAAGGGCATTTTCTAGTATTTTGAATGTTTCACCATTCTCTGCCCTTTGCTTTATATATATAGATTCAGTTGCAAAAGAATAACGGTACAGTTATCAAATGAAGAAATAATGGGAAGAAAAAGGTAACGGACAAAAGGGAGGAGAAAACTAATTTAATAAAAACAAAACAAAACAAAACAAAACAAAACAAATTTTTTTTATAATTCTTCATACTAAAATAATAAAATTGTGAACTTTTGTTTTTGCAATTACAATAGATATGAGGTATTAAAACGCAAAGCCATATTTTCAATTTTAAATCTCTTGCAGTTAATGGATCTAGCTAAGTGGAAAAGAACATTAACTTGCACATCAATGATCTCTCGCCTTCCCCCCATGGTACCTTAGTAACATCTCATCCTGATATTTAATTTAATTTTCAAAATTCTAAAGTGAAAAGACGACTTTAACCTTAGGATTCCTTGTTGATTTAGAGTTGACTTTTTGTTCAGCGCTAGTTTTGAAAATTTTCTTGGTTCCTTTGCATAGTGCTCGAGCTCACAAGTTCGTAGACACGTGGTGGGCCTAAATCGAAGTTGAAACGAAGACGTTTTGGTCAACAAAAGTGCAATGGCACAACCATAAATATTTCAAAATCATATATATATTTTTAAAGTAGGACAAGTTGGCCCGCACGCACATCACTCTCTCTCTCTCTCTCTCTCTCTCTCTCTCTCTCCAGCGCCTTTTCAACTTCAACGTGGCACAACGTCACCGTCCGGCCACCTCCGATGACGAGACTGATCGAAAAATGATGACCACCGACCGGCCAGCGTGTCTGGGCCAGAGCGCAGCCCTCCTAGCCCTTTGATGCGACAACGCGAGCTTGAAAAGGTCGAGAGGGTTCGAGGTTTTCCGTCGCCATTTCCATCGACTCTGGTGACCGTTGTCGTCGATCTAGGTATGGTTCTTCGTCCATTTTCCATGCTCTAGCTATTTATGTAGGTGGTTTGGATCGATTTTAGAGTTTTAGAAGTCAACCAACATACCCCTATAAGGCCAACGGTTTTGGCTGTTTTTCATCCATCTCCGACCCTTTTTTGGCTGAGGCCGAAACCAAAACTTGTTCCTCTTATTAGTCTGAACGTGTTGGTATAGGTATTGTAGGGAGTTTTGAGAATTTTATGTTGTCAGAATTTTCTCAAGACACCCACCCCTGCTTGCAGCTGGTGGTGGCACGTGGGCCCTTATGTGGCAGCCCATGTCATCCTAAAATGTTCCCCATGTCGTCTTGAGCACGACGTTATGCTCGGACTTGAAGTTGGTTACCATTTGACTATCGAACGGATATTGCACCTATCGTGTGATATCTAGGTTCGATAGGTTCGGAACGTTAGATCGATTCCAATTTCAATTATGTTGTTCCCTATACCTCTAAGATACTGTAGGAACTTACGAATTGAGAATTGGAGTCTCGGATACTCTGAGTCAATAATTCTAGGGTTAGGGGAACCAATCGTCGTCCGATCGTGCAATTGACCTAGATCCGACCGCTTGATCGAGACCAAACCGTCGAGTCTTGTTTAGTAGACTTTGCGGAACCTATAGGAACTTTCAGATCAGAAATCAGAGGTCGTGGGCCACGCTGGCCTAATTGACCTAGATGGTGGGCCTCACCAGCCCGATCGAGACTAATTGGTTATGAGGTATTTGTGATTGGATGTTTGTTTTAAAGTTGGTAGTATGCTATGAGAGTTTTATTACATATTTATGAATTATTATTCTAACGCTTTTACTTTCCAAGCAAGATATATTTATGTTTTATTGTGCAGATTTGGGTTGAGTTGATTTTAAATGTTTGGTTACATGTTTATTTTCATATATGTTGAAAAGTGTGAGAAATGATAGGTTATGGAAATGAAATATTTGTTGTCTTCGGAAAAAGAGATGGTTGCCTTCAGAGATATTGATGTCTTCGAACATTTTGGATGTCTTCAGAAATATTAATGTCTTTGGAAATCCTAGTTGCCTTCGGGAAATAAAAGTGTCTTCGGACAACTCAGTTGCCTTTGGAAAAGTCTACTTGCGTATGACATTGCCCCACGAGTCTCAAGGATGCCCAAACCTTAGAGAGATTCAATACAAACAAGAAAGAAATCACCTTACAAGATCTACAGCTTGAAGTAAAGAATGTCAAAAAAGAGATTATAACTTTAAAACAAATAAGTCATGAACTACAAAATGAAAACTATGAGATAAAACAAGATTTAATTAGCCTGATGGAAAGACTAGAACAATCCTCTAATTCGAAACCTTCATATCCGTCTGATGAAGAAGATGAAGAAGGATTAAGTAAGCAAAAAACTGTTAACCTAATTAAACAATTAAAGTTTCGAATATGGTATTCGAAAGTCAGCATCTCTATCAACAACTTTAAATTCAACACAATAGCCCTATTTGATTCAGGTGTAGACCTAAATTGCATACAAGAAGGATTAATTCCTACCAAATATTATAAAAAGTCAAAAGAATCCTTAGGAACTGCTTCTGGCAAACCACTTCAACTAAGGTATGAAATCCCTAAAGCTCATATGTGTCAAAATAAGGTTTGCTTCAAAACATCATTTGTTCTAGTGAAAGATATAACAGACAAAGTCATCATAGGACTGCCATTTATCGCCCTACTCTACCCCTTTGTAGTAGAGTATGATGGTATCACCTCTAGTCATATGGGAGAAAAGTTAATCTTTGAATTTCTAACGAAACCCGAATTGTGAGTCCTAAAAGTCTTTCAAAATGACGTAGTCTCAAAGACAATTAATTTGATCCACAATAAAGAAAAACATGTTAACTTCCTTGAAGAAGAAGTCAAGTTCAAAAGAATTGAACAACAACTCAAAGATACAAAGTTACAACAAAAAATAAAGAATTTTGAAGAAAAAAATTAAACAAGACGTCTGCTCAGATCTTCCGAATGCCTTATGGCACCGAAAACAACATGTAGTCAACCTTCCTTATATTAAAGAATTTAATGACAAAAATATTCCTACCAAGGCCCGACTCATTCAAATGAGTCAAGAGATTATGGAATTTTGTAAAAAAGAAATTACATAACTACTAAATAAGAAAATCATTCGAAAAAGCAAATCTCATTGGTCTTGTCCAGCCTTCTATGTTCAAAATAGCGCTGAATTAGAACGAGGACGGCCCAGGCTAGTCATAAATTACAAACCTCTCAATAGTGTGTTAGAATGGATCACCTGGGCCTAAGGTAGGACTCTCTTGGGTAGCCGAACCGCCCTAAGGTTTTGATCAAAGATAGAATACGGAACCTGAACTCCTTGCTTGGAATCGTGACAAAGGCCACGTCGCTAGGGAAATGTCAGAATGGACAAGATCAATGGCGGACCCAGGAATTTTTATAGGGGTAGGCTAAATTTTTTTTTTCTTTTTTGAGAGGAGATATATTATAAGCCTTTTTTCTATTGAAACAAAAATGTAAATAAAATTTTATAAATCAAACAAAGTCACATTACAAGCAAATATAACACAAAAAAGTACAATATATAAATAAATATCAAATCAAACACATTGTCCAAAAAACTTAACAACAACAATTAAAATTGGAAATTGAATATATATAAATAAATTCAAGTTGCAAAAATAAAACATATATCAACAATCTCCAAAAAAATTTCATCCAAACCCTAAATCATAAAAACTTAACAACAACAATTAAAATTGGAAATTGAATATATATAAATAAATTCAAGTTGCAAAAATAAAACATATATCAACAATCTCCAAAAAAATTTCATCCAAACCCTAAATCATAAAAACTTAACAACAACAATTAAAATTGGAAATTGAATATATATAAATAAATTCAAGTTGCAAAAATAAAACATATATCAACAATCTCCAAAAAAATTTCATCCAAACCCTAAATCATAAAAACTTAACAACAACAATTAAAATTGGAAATTGAATATATATAAATAAATTCAAGTTGCAAAAATAAAACATATATCAACAATCTCCAAAAAAATTTCATCCAAACCCTAAATCATAAAAACTTAACAACAACAATTAAAATTGGAAATTGAATATATATAAATAAATTCAAGTTGCAAAAATAAAACATATATCAACAATCTCCAAAAAAATTTCATCCAAACCCTAAATCATAAAAACTTAACAACAACAATTAAAATTGGAAATTGAATATATATAAATAAAAAAAAGAAAAACTTACCGAGATTGAAGAACCCACTGAAGATAGGTTGGTATAGTTTTTTAGAGGAGGAGAACTATTTCCTCTAGGCTCTCAAGGTTCAAATATGGCATTTTGGGTGGCTAGAAGAATTTTTTTTATGTTTGCTCTCTGTGGTTGTAGCCCAATATCAATATGATTAGAATAGGTCAAGTTGGTAGAACCTTAGCGTGAGTTCTGCTGCTAATCAAATTTATATATGTTTGGATTGATGTTTATTATTTCCTATATGCATTAGGAGTGGGCTTATTTTAAATAAAGCTATTATTTACTTT